TGCCAGCAAAACTTGGGCTAATAAATGGTTTTTAGGGTCAAATTGGGGTTTACACCTCCTCAGACCTTTATCTCTTCCAACATTCCACCCCAAACTGGGTGCAGGCATCACCTCTGGGTTCCAGAGGTGACATCCCCAAAGTTGGGCAAAACTGGGTTATGTTTTATGAACCTTACAGGTTGTGCCAGCAAAACTTAGGCTAATAAATGGTTTTTAGGGTCAAATTGGGGTTTACACCTCTTCAGATCTCCATCTACCTCCAACACCCCAAAGTGGGTGAAGGCATCCCTTCTGGGTTCCAGGGGTTGATGACACGACCAAATTTGGGTAAAAGTGGAATTTGAAAGGTTGTGCCAGCAAACTTTGGGCTAATAAATGGTTTTTAGGGTCAATTTGGGGTTTACACCTCTTCAGATCTCCATCCCCCTCCAAGATCCCACCCCAAACTGGGTGAAGGCATCACCTCTGGGTTCTAGGGGTTGGTGACACCCCCAAATTTGGGTAAAAGTGGTTTCTTAAAAGTTGTACCAGCAAAACTTGGGCTAATTAATGGTTTTTAGGGTCAGTTTGGGGTTTACACCTCTTCAGATCTCCATCCTTCCCCAAGATTCCGCCCCAAACTGAGTGCAGGAATCACTTCTGGGTTCTAGGGGTTGGTGACACCCCCAAATTTGGGTAAAAGTGGGGTTTGAAAGGTTGTACCAGCAAAACTTGGGCTAATAAATTGTTTTTAGGGTCATTTTGGAGTTTTACACCCCCACAGATCTCCATCTCTTCAACATCCCACCCCAAAGCAGGTGAAGGCATCACCTCTGGGTTCCAGGGCTTGGTGACATCCCCCAAATTTGAGTAAAGGTGGTTTCTCAAAAGTTGTACCAGCAAAACTTGGGTTAATAAATGGTTTTTAGGGTCAAATTGGGGTTTACACCTCCTCAGATCTCCATCTCTTCCAACATCCCACCCCAAACTGGGTGAAGGCATCGCCTCTAGGTACTAGAGGTTGGTGACACCCCCAAATTTGGGTAAAAGTGGGTTTTGAAAGGTTGTGCCAGCAAACTTTGGGTTGATAAAGGGTTTTTAGGGTCAGTTTGAGGTTTTACATCTCTTCAGATCTCCATCTCTTCAACATCCCACCCCAAAGTGGGTGAAGGCATCACCTCTGGGTTCCAGAGGTGGCACCCCCAAATTTGGGTAAAACTGGGTTATGTTCTATGAATCTTACAGGTTGTGCCAGAAAAATTTGGGCTAATAAATGGTTTTTAGGATCAAATTGGGGTTTACCACCTCCTCACATCTCCATCCCTTCAACATCCCACGTTTGCTGAGCTGATCCCTTGAATTCTATTCTATATTTCTGTTATTTTGATGAGTCCTGGGGCTTTTCTCTATCCTTTGTCAGCTCTTCAACACCTTCTTGGGGTCCCAGCCCAAGATTTTAGACCCAGACTTTTGGATTTTAGATTTTAATGCAGGGGGAGATTAAATTGAATTCGGGGTGGAGACGATGTGAGATTCCTGATTTGGTTATTTGCTGCTTTATACATCAAAAATCAACTTTTTGGTGGCAATGGATGGGTTTTAAGGTCCCTTCCCACCCAAACCATTCCAGGATTCCATCACCTGGTAAACACATGGATATAAATCATCCATCCTGCAGAAGTTCAGGAAGCTCAGAGGTGAAGGAATTGTGTCGGCTTAGATCCAGTTTTTCTCCTGTTATCACCTGTTGAGCCCTTTATTCTTCTCGACCCTATAAATTTATTTTAACTTCCTATTTTGGAGTCACCCCCAGACTCCAGCACTGCTCTGACCCCTGAACAAAGCCCTGAAATTCTCCTGCAGGACTTGTTTCCTTGTAGCTTCGTGGTGTTAATGCTGCTTGTTCTCTTTAATTAATAACCACAATTTTTCCTCTCTTGGAGAATAAAAGGAAGTTATTTTGGTTTTTTTTCCCCCCGATGTGTTACAGCAATAAGCTGGAAAATAGCAATTTCTTTGTGATCTCTGGCACAGACTCAGGATTCTCACGTCCTGCCTGTTCACAGTTCCTGTCACTGACTGCCTGTACTTAGAGGAGGAAAAAAATTGTGCTTTTCCCTGCCAGGCTGCTCGAGTGTGAGGGGGTGTGTGGGATCAGGAGGACACCAGTTGTCCTTCTGGCACTGGGAAGCCATTCCCTGTGTCCTGTCCCTCCAGGCCTTGTCCCCAGTCCCTCTCCAGCTCTCCTGGAGCCCCTTTAGGCCCTGCCAGGGGCTCTCAGCTCTCCCTGGAGCCTTCTCTTCTCCAGGGGAACCCCCCCAGCTCTCCCAGCCTGGCTCCACCCTTGATGGATTCCCATTAATGGGAATACCCATCGAATGGATATTCCCCCATCCCAGGGCTGGGAAGCTGTGGCTCTGAGGATTGTCCAACCAGGAATTCTTTCACCAGTAATTGTGGGACTTGAAATCCTGTGGAAAGAATGTCTGGATTTAATAGAGAAGATGTAAAGGATGTGAAGAAATCATGGAATCCCAGACTGGTTGGGGTTGGAAGGGATCTTAAAGATCATCCCATTCCACCCCTGCCATGGGCAGGGGCACCTTCCACCAGCCCAGGTTGCTCCAACCTGGCCTTGGACACTTCCAGGGATCCAGGGGCTTCTCTGGGAATTCTTTTCCAGGGCCTCTCCACCCTCCCAGCCAGGAATTCCTTCCCAATATCCCATCTAACCCTGCCCTCTGCCCAGTTTTAAATATTCCCTGCTTTCCAGCTCTCTTTGCTTCCCTTTGGAAATCACCTCAGTTCATTGTTGCTCCATTGCCACGATTTCCTCAGCCTTGGCTTCCCAGGTCCTTAATCCCTCCCTTAATCCTGGTTTTATTTCTGGCTGCAAGCTCAACCAGGTTCTTTTAGGCCCTGCAAGGGGCTCTCAGCTCTCCCTGGATCCTTCTCTTCTCCAGGTGGGAACCCCCCCAGCTCTCCCAGCCGGTCTAAATCCTTTTGGAAACCAAATCCTCTCCAGCTCTGAGTTGCTTTCACACCATTTCCAGCTTTCCAACCCCACTCATCACTTTTCCACAGCAAACGGGGCTTGCTTGGATTTGTCTTGTTTTCCACTCTAATATTCCATGTGAGAAGTTTTGGGCAAAGCCCAATATTTTTATCTGAAGGTGTTTTCAAGCCCAACATTTGAGGTGTTACCACCTGAAATAAATAGGAAGTGATGTTTTCGCCCCACTGTTGCCTATCGATGGCCTGCAGCGAAATCTCTTCCAGTAAGGACAGAATTCCCGGTTTTTAAGGAAGGAATTCCTGGCTGGGAGAGTGGAGAGGCCCCGGCCCGGGTTTATATACGTATATCTCACAGGGAAAAATATGGAATGTTGGGTTGTGGTGGAAAATATGGAGTGTAGGGATTGGAGTGAAAAATGTGGAGCGTTGGGATTGGAGTGAAAAATGTGGAGCATTGGGATTGCAGGGAAAAGTAGGAAGCATTGGGATGGTGGGGAAAAATATGGAGTATTGGGATTGCAGTGAAGAATGTGGAGTATTGGGATTGTGGTGGAAAATATGGAGTGGTGGGATTGCAGGGAAAAAAATATATATTTATTTATATATTTATGTATTTATATATTTATATATTTATATTTATATACATATATATCACAGTGAAAAATATGGAATGTTGGGTTGCGGTGAAAAATATGGAGCATTGGGATTGGAGTGAAAAATGTGGAGTATTGGGATTGTCGTGAAAAATATGGAATATTGGGATTGTGGCAAAAAATATGGAGTATTGGAATTGTGGTAAAAAACATGGAGTATTGGAATTGTGGTGAAAAATATGGGGTGTTGGGATTACAGCGAAAAATGTGGAGTGGTGGGAATTCAGGGAAAAAAATATTTATTTATTTATTTATTTATATATTTATATATATTTATATTTATATATATCTCACAGTGAAAAATATGGAATGTTGGGTTGCAGTAAAAGTATGGAGTGTTGGGATTGCAGTAAAAAATATGGAGTATTGGGATTGTGGTGAAAAATATGGAGTAGTGGGATCAGAGTGTAAAATGTGGGGTATTGGGATTGGAGTGAAAAGTAGGAAGTATTGGGATTGTGGTGGAGAACATGGAGTGGTGGGATTGCGGGGAAAAATATATATATATTTATATGTATTTTTATTTATATACATATATATCACAGTGAAAAATATGGAATGTTGGGTTGCAGTGAAAAATATGGAGTATTGGAATTGTGTTGAAAAATATGGAGTACTGGAATTGCAGGGAAAATATGGAATATTGGGATTGTGGGGAAAAATATGGAGTGGTGGGATTGCAGGGAAAATATATATAGATATATATTTATATATTTATATATTTATATATATTTATATTTTTATACATATATATCACAGTAAAAAATATGGAATGTTGGGTTATGGTGAAAAATATGGAGCATTGGGATTGTGTTGAAAAATATGGAGTACTGGGATTGCAGGGAAAATGTGGAGTATTGGGATTGTGGGGAAAAATATGGAGTGGTGGGATTGCAGGGAAAATGTGGAGCATTGGGATTGCAGTGAAAAGTCAGAAGAATTGGGATTGTGGTGGAAAATATGGAGTGGTGGGATTGCAGGGAAAAATATGGAATGTTGGGACTGCAGTGAAAAATGTGGAGTATTGGGATTGGAGTGAAAAATATGAAGTATTGGAATTGTGGCGAAAAATATGGAGTGGTGGGATTGCAGGGGAAAAAATATATATTTATTAATATATTTATATATTAATATATTTATATGTATATAATTATATAATATTTATTTTTATATATTCGTATATTTATATATATTTGTTTAATAGGTATTTTTAGATGTCATTTGTGTGAGCTCTTGAGCTCTGGAGAAGTTCCCCCGAGTGCTCCACGGGTTTGGTGGGAGAAATCCCGGAGCTCTCCCCCCTCCTCCCTCCTCCAGCCCCCGGGTAACGCTGTTTTCCGGTGCTTTGCTCAGATCAGGTGGACGAAAACAGCGGGAAGTGCCTCGGACAGATTCCAGGACTCGAGCGTGTTCAACGAGACCCTTCGGATCTCCAACATCCAGAGGCACCAGGGGGGACGTTACTACTGCAAGGCCGAGAACGGCCTCGGCTCTCCCGCCATCAAATCCATCCGGGTGGACGTCTACTGTGAGTAAAACTTGGGAATTCTCAGCTCCGGGGGTTAGGGGGTGTTTGGCTCAACTGCTGGTGTTGCGACGAGAGGGATTGTAGTGAAAAATACGGAATAGTGGGACGGTGTTGAAAAATGTGAGTTATTGGCCTTGCAGTGAAAAATGTGGAGTATTGGGATTGCAGTGAAAAATGTGGAGTATTGGGATCGCAGTGAAAAATGTGGAGTATTGGGGTTGTGCTGAAAAATATGAGAGATTGGGATTGTGCTGAAAAATATGAGAGATTGGGGTTGCAGTGGAAAATATGAGGGACTGGGATTGCAGTGAAGAATATGGAATATTGGGATTATGATGAAAAATATGGAGTATTGGGATCATAGTGGAAAATATGGAATATTGGGATTACAGTGATGAATATGGAGTACTGGGATTGTGATGAAAAATATGGAGTATTGGGATCGCAGTGAAAAATGTGGAGGATTGAGATCACAGTGGAAAATGTGGAATATTGGGATCACAGTGGAAAATATGACGTATTGGGTTGCAGTGAAAAATATAGAGTATTGGGCTTGCAGTGGAAATGTGGAATATTGGGATCACAGTGGAAAATATGGAGTGTTGGGCTTGCAGTGGAAAATGTGGAATATTGGAATTGTGATGAAAAATATGAGGGATTGGGATTGCAGCGAAAAATAGGAGAGATTGGGATTGCATTGGAAAATAGGAGGGATTGAGATTGCAGTGAAGAATATGGAGTACTGGGATTGTGATGAAAAATATGGAATATTGGAATTGCAGTGAAAAATGTGGAGGATTGAGATCACAGTGGAAAATGTGGAATATTGGGATCACAGCGGAAAATATGGAGTGTTGGGATTGCGGTGAAAAAATGAGGGATTGGGTTGCGGTGAAAAATATGGAGTGTTGGGATTGCAGTGAAAAATATGGAGGATTGAGGTAACAGCAGAAAATGTGGAATATTGGGATCACAGTGGAAAATATGGAGTGTTGGGATTGTGGTGAAAAATATGAAGTGTTGGGATTGCAGTGAAAAATATGGAGGATTGGGATCACAGTGGAAAATATGGAATATTGGGATCATAGTGGGAAATATGGATTGTGGTGAAAAGTAGGAAGTATTGGGACTGTGGTGAAAAATATGAAGTACTGGGATCACAGTGAAAAATATGGAGTATTGGGATTGCAGTGAAAAATATGGAGGATCAGGATTGTGATGAAAAATATGGAGGATTGGGATTGCGGTGAAAAATGTGAGTTATTGGGGTGCAGTGAAAAATATGGAGTATTGGGATTACAGTGAAAATTATGAAGTATTGGGATTGCGGTGAAAGTATGAGCTATTGTGTTGTGGTGAAAAATATGGAATGTTGGGTTGCAGTGAAAAATATGGGGTGTTGGGATTGCAGTGAAAAATGTGGAGTGTTGGGATTGCAGAGGAAAATATGGAGTGTTTGGACTGCAGTGGAAAATGTGGAGTGTTGGGATCACAGTGGAAAATACGGAATATTGGGATGATAGTGAAAAATATGGAATATTGGGATCACAGTGGAAACTTGGGCTAATCAATGGTTTTTAGGGTCAGTTTGGGGTTTACACCTCCTCACATCTCCATCCCTTCAACATCCCACGTTTGCTGAGCTGATCCCTTGAATTCTATTCCGTATTTCTGTTATTTTGATGAGTCCTGGGGCTTTTCTCTCTATCCTTTGTCAGCTCTTCAACACCTTCTTGGGGTCCCAGCCCAAGATTTTAGACCCAGACTTTTGGATTTTAGATTTTAATGCAGGGGCAGTTTAAATTGAATTCGGGCTGGAGACAATGGGAAACCTCGGGAATTCTCACTTCCTTGTTGGATTTCTTGTTTTGCTCAACTTCTGGTGTCCCAGTTCGAGCGGCTCGGGAGGAGTCCAGTTTTGGGCGGTTTTAGGGTGGATTTTTGGTGGCTTTGGGGGATATTTGTGGTGGGAAGGCTCGGGAAGGTCGACGAGGCTGCTCCTGCAGGGAAGTGGCTTTAAATAAATCACAATATTTTGGATAAGATGGAAGAAAATCGGGTGCGACTCGACCTGCTTGGAAATCAGAGGAGGATTTGTCACAGGGGGAAGGTCTAATGTGGAGTATTGGGATCCCGGTGGAAAAATGTGGAATATTGAGATCACAGTGAAAAACATGGAGTGTTGAGATCACAGTGGAAAATATGGAGGGTTGGGACCACAGTGGAAAATATGAGGGATTGGGATTGCAGTGAAAAATGTGGAATATTGGGATTGCAGTGAAAAATAGGAAGTATTGGGATTGTGGTGAAAAATATGGAGTCGTGAGATAGCAGTGGAAAATATGGAATATTGGGATAATAGTCGAAAATATGGAATATTGGGATAATAGTGAAAAATATGGAGTGTTGGGATTTTGGTGAAAAGTAGGAAGTATTGGGATTGTGGCAAAAAATATGGAGTATTGGGATTGTGATGAAAAATATGGAGTATTGGGATTGTGATGAAAAATATGGAATATTGGGATTGTTGAAAATTATGGAGTATTGGAATTGTGATGAAAAATATGGAGTATTGGGATTGTGATGAAAAATATGGAGTATTGGGATTGTGATGAAAAATATGGAATATTGGGATTGTGGTGAAAAATATGGAATATTGGGATTGTTGAAAATTATGGAGTATTGGGATTGTGGTGAAAAATATGAGTTATTGGGTTGCAGTGAAAAATATGGAGTATTGGGATTACAGGGGAAATGTGGAGTACTGGAATAGCAGTAAAAAATATGGAGTGTTGTGATTGCAGTGGAAATATGAGGTATTGGGATTGCAGTGAAGAATATGAAATATTGGGATTGTGATAAAAAATATGAAGTATTGGGATTGTGATTAAAAATATGAAGTATTGGGATTGCAGTGAAAAATATGGAGTATTGGGATCGCAGTGAAAAGTAGGAAGTATTGGGATTGTGGTGAAAATATGAGGGGTTGGGTTGTGGTGAAAAATATGGAATGTTGGGTTGCAGTGAAAAATAGGGAGTATTGAGATTGCAGTGAAAAATGTGGAGTGTTTGGATTGCAGTGGAAAATGTGGAGTGTTGGGATCACGGTGGAAAATATGGAAAATTGGGATCACAGTGAAAAATATGGAGTGTTGGGATTGTGGTGAAAAGTAGGAAGTATTGGGATTGTGGTGAAAAATATGGAGTGTTGGGATTGGAGTGAAAAATATGGAATATTGGGATTGCAGTGAAAAATATGGAGTGTTGGGATTGGAGTGAAAAATATGGAGTGTTGGAATTGCAGGGAAAATACAAGAGTATAGGGATTGTAGTGGAAAATATGGAGGATTGAGTTGCAGTGAAAAATATGAAGTGTTGGGATTGGAATGAAAAATGTGGAGTATTGGGATTGCAGGGAAAATATGGAGTATTGGGATCACAGTGAAAAATGTGGAGTGTTGGTATTGCAGTGGAAAATGTGGAATATTGGGATTGTGATGAAAAATATGAGGTATTGGGATTGCAGTGGAAAATATGAGGGATTGGGATTACAGTGAAGAATATGGAATATTGGGATTGTGAACAAAAATATGGAGCATTGGGATTGCAGTGAAAAATGTGGAGTATTGGGATTGGAGTGAAAAATGTGGAATATTGGGATTGCAGTGGAAAATATGAAATATTGTGATTGTGATAAAAAAATATGGAGTGTTGGGATCGCAGTGAAAAATATGGAATATTGGGATTGCAGTGCAGTTGGACACCAGGGCTGACAGAAAAAGGGGAAAGCCTTGAAAATCTCCTGCAATAAATGCACGAAAAGGAATTAAAATTAAATCAACTTTTTGTGCCTTGGTTCTGGAACTGGAATTCCCCAGTTGGTTTTTGGGGGGTTCTCTTGCCTGATGGGGGTGTTTGGCTTCATGATTTGCCTGAAAAAGCTGTAAAATACCAGAAAAGTGGGAAATCTTTTAGGGATAATCACAGAATGAGGTGGTAATTGCTAATGAATTGTAATTAATGACAATTAATGAATTGTAATGAATTTTAATGAGTCCGTGTGGGCCAAGCAGGGTTTGGAATGGAGGGATGGTTTCAAATTGAGAGAGGGAAGGGTTAGGTGGGATTTTGGGAAGGAATTCCCGGCTGGGAGGGCAGTGAGGGGCTGGGATGGAATTCCCAGAGAAGCTGTGGCTGCCCCTGGATCGCTGGAGGTGTCCAGGATTGGGATCCCTGGGCTGGTGGAAGGGGGTGGGACTGGATGATCCTTAAAATCCCTTCCAAGCCAAACCATCCCGTGATTCCATGATTCCATAAAAACCCTTCTCCCTCCCCTCAGCATCCCTGGATTAGACCCTCCCTAATTCCTGATTTTAGGCAGAGAAAATCAAAATATTAAAAAGTGATATTTCCGAGTAGCTTTGGGGAATTTTGTCCTTTTTTTAATGGGAATTTTGTCCTTTTTTTAACTGGAATTTTCTGCTTTAATTTCGATTAATTTCTATTTATTGAATATTTCCTCTGTCAATCCCATGTTGTGTGTCCATGGCAAGAACTCCGGGCAGGAATTTTGGGAGGGATTTGGAGTCTCTTTTGCTCAGAGACTCCAAAACAAAAAGAATCCAAAGCACTAAACCAACATTTTCAATCAAATTGTGGTTTGTTTGTTTTAGTGAACATTTATTTAGTGAAATTCCATAGAAAAAAACCCTTTTCCTCCAGGATTTAGTACCTGGGAGCTCACAAAAAACTCACAAAAATTGAAAATATTAAAAATTGATATTTCCAAGTAGTTTTAGGGAATTTTGTCCTTTTTTTTAATGGGAATTTTGTCCCTTTTTTAACTGGAATTTTCTGATTAATTTCGATTAATTTCTATTTATTGAATATTTTCTCTGTCAAACCCATGTCATGTGTCCATGGCAAGAACTCTGAGCTGGAATTTTGGGAGGGTTTGGATTCTCTTTGGCTCAGAGACTCCAAAACAAAAAGAATTTGAA